GTAAAATTAGTTTGGAGGAAAAATCTCAGTGTAGTGATACAAGTTTTGTCTCAGTAAATAAGGTACTTAGTTAAATAATGCATTTTTACAAAAATGTTATTAATGATTTAACACAGTAAAAGAATATGTAAAGAAGAAAAGTTGGTGTGCGCAAAACTGGGTAAAATTAGTTTGGAAGAAAAATCTGAGTGTAGTGATACAAGTTTTGTCTCAGTAAATAAGGTACTTAGTTAAATAATGCATTTTTACAAACATGTTATTAATAATTAACGTAACGTAAATAAATATTGTAATAATGGTGATAGGAATGTAAAGAATGGTGGTGTCCAAAACACTCTTCATTTATTGATGTCTTACTATCCCTGAATTTGAAGGACCAATCGTTAGAAGATCAGTACCTTATGAGAAAGGCAAAGTCAAGATTTGTATACTGGCAAGGTGATGATAAGGTATATAGAAATTTACCTGTATTATAATAAATACATTTTTAATAAAATATCATTATGTATTACATTTTGAATTATAGAACAATCCACGGTGTCCTGTGTATGACCGGAAAAAAGGCACAATAACATCTTTCCAAATTCCAAAATGCTGGCCACAAAATTAGGAATAACATCTCCATTAATTATTATAATAAATAAATATTAATACATATATTCTAAAAAGTATTTTATTTAATTTCGGTTGTGTACTGATTAATTATCATATCTGATATCTAAGGTAGGTAGTAAGTAATTTATAATTTAAATAGAGTTATTTTGAAGAATTCTTTTTTTAGTTTAATTTATATAGTTCTGTATTTTTTGAGAGTATTTGACTATATTTATTCAAAAAACTAAACAAATATTAGTATTTACTTAACGGATTGCATTAGCAGAGTATTAGTGTAAATGTAAAATTCACTTAGAAATCAAATAAATAAAGCCATAATTCCCAAAGCATAAAGTACATATATTACTTAAACTGAAAAAAGAATGCTTGTATTATTATTGTACCTCAAAAATAACATGGATGAATGAGGTATTTTTTTCAAGTGTTAAAGGTAGAATGTAAAACTATTTATAGGTAATAAATTATTATGTAATATGCTTTAATACGCATTTTAAAATAATTTTTTAATTTTAATTTTGAATATTTGTGAAATATTTTGTAACATTAAAGGTAGGTATTTTATTCACAAGTATTAATACTAATAGGAAAAATGTATACATACAATCTAGGTAAATATTAAAATTACCTATCTAAATACTTTTTTTCATAAAATATTAATTTGTTATAAATTAAGTTTAGTACCAACATTCATCCATTCAACTATTTAGATTAGAAATACTTAATCACTTAGTCACAATTTTTACGCATTCTTAACTCTAAATAATTTGCTAATTTTCGTGATTTTTCCATATTTTGTCAATTTTTGAACTTTAAATGCTTATAAAAAAAATTGTGACTAAGGATTTTTAATATTTTTCATCTGCCTTTGAAACAACATATTAGGAGCCTTCTATTAAATTTTCAAGCTTTCGCAACCAATTAATAAAATTTTATTGATATTTTTAGAAAAAAAACTAAAAAAAAATGGAAAATGAAAATGTCCCTAAACAGTTCAAAATAAATCAAAATATTTTGAAAATGTTATCGTGTATAGAAAATGCAAATATAAACAACCAGTGAAAATTTCATGTATATACGTTCATTTGTTTTAGAGTTACACCAATAACCAAAATCGATTTTTTGGAAAACCAATTTTGCGTAAAAATTCCCGTTTTTCCTTAATTTTTATGTTGTTTTTCCCGGTGCTTGTGAAAACTACTAGGAAATTTATACTTTTGACCCCCCAAAGTACCAACTAGATTCACTTTCCTATCAGAAAAGCTACTGATGAAGAAAATCCAAGCACTTTTACTGTCCTAAAACGTGATGACAGACACAAAAATATAAAAATATAAATAAAAATATAAATAAAAACATACATCATTGTAAAACCAATACATTCATCGCTCCGCTCAGAATCTAAAATATAAAAATATAAAAACACACATCATTGTAAAACCAATACATTCATCGCTCCGCTCAGAATCTAAAATAAATATTGTATGAAATTATAATTTAAATTTATTAGAATTTAGTCTTAGTATCTAAGTTCTTGTAATATTATCAAAATAGAATTTCATTCTAGGGATGGAGGAATGTAATAATCTCATTATTAGTAAATAAATAATATGTATAATATTATGTATTTACTGACATTCGTCGACTTTGCTAAAAGTCCATATTATAGGAAAGCTAGTGCACAGATCAAAGGTGACGACTAGAAATAGCGCACACCTTTAGATTGTACGGACGTCATCATAACAAGGTGACTCCGCGTAGCATAAATAGAAAAGTCATAGACAAACTCGGGGAGTCGAATACAAGAGACGACGAGAGTGTGTACTTCTAAATTGAGTACGGACGTTTGTTATGATACTTTGATTATACGAAAATTTGTGTATCTTTATTATTCCATTAATTCTATTTCGAGTGCTGAAGCGGACACGTTACAACAGCTGCTCTACTGACATTAGCGGCAGCGTTCAAAAATAGTGTTCCTACCACTACCCCACGCTCGATTGTAGCCATACCGCACTATAGTTCAAAACCAGATTTCTTATCGCGACCTGGCCGCTTGCCGTTTATAAATAATCGGTACGAAAACAATTATGTTGGTGACAGAACATTTTTCATAATACCCATAAAGAATTTCATATTTCATATATTAATATTATTCTGTTTTACACAAACTAAAAATCTCACATCCTAAAATTGTTATAAATCGTTTAAAAAAATTACAATTTAAATAATTATTTTTTTAATCTTGTAGAGAATTTAACGAGAAAATTATTTTTTTTTAACGTTGACTAACAAAATATGAAATTTAATTCAGTATAACGAAAAAAAACCTTAGATACCTGCATATTATGAATAAATGGAAGAATGTTGAATAAAGTGACCAGCGTAATCAATGTACATTGTACCTAGGTACAACGTAATTCGACTTATAATAATTAAAACAATAAACCCCTAATTATATGAACTGAAACATAATTGTTTATATAAAGCAGTCAAATACGAACTGTATTTATTTTTAATTAGTTAGTAGGTAAATTCCTATATTACAGATTATTTATTTATTTATTCATTCATTTATTTATTTATAATATATTAATATATAAACGGGTTGAACCCAATTCAAAATATGATAAAACAAATAATTACAAATGACACTAAAACACATTCAATGCACCAAACATTCACAATTTAAAAAAAAATAATATATTTATAATCTATACATACAATAAGCACATTCGATAATAGAATGAGAAGCACGTCATGATAAATCATCAAATTGTAAAAAATAATAAATAGGTATATAATATGTAAAAAACATAATATTTTAACATGATAATAGGATATAGTAATAATTATTGTACATATTATATGGATATTAATCGCGGTATACTAATTTTATTTTTGCCGTTTTTGTATTTATATTTTCCAAAATATGTTGAGGATAGTAAGGTTCAAAATTATTATCTTCATTATACAGTGTGATAAGATAAGTTAGTTAGTTCCGAACACCGACGGGAGGAAAATCTCGCTCCGTCAATAAATTAATATTATATTAGCATCATATTTATTTATTTACATGGCGCTGTGGCAAACCAAAACGTTCTTTTTAGTTTAGTTTTTAGTGACGTCTAACTAAATTCTATATTAAAAGTGAGTTTGTTTTGTTTTAAGTTCGAATCAATTCTTAAGTCAAAGTTTCGCACGAGGTTTGTTGACCGGTCAACCTTTTCAAGTTTGAGGTTAACAATCACAATCACAATCACAGCAAGCAATAGCTGATAAAATATCAAGCAACACTCAACATCAGGTACAAATATTTTCAACAAACGACACTGCGAAGGCATTATCAATATTCTCGGGAAAAAAGATCGAAACGTTTGTGACTGGATTAAAGAAGTTGAACGTATTTCGGTTCATGCGCACTGGACTCCATCACTTACACTAGTTAACGCTACTTCACGTTTAGCAGGATCAGCCTTGAACTGGCATAAAGTGTCAGGCCGCTCATTTGAAGAATGGCTCACGTGGAAAGAGGGTATTAAAGATAGATTTAAAGTCAAGATGACCTTTTCAGAATTTATACAATTCCAAGCTAAACGTACGCTACGTCCAAACGAATCAATTGCAGATCATCTATATGATAAGGATGCTATCATAGACAAAGCCCCGTTCACACTACAACAGTCAGACAGAGTATCTTTAATATTACAAGGCATAACAAAACATGAATGGGCTATTCCATTGACAACAGCAATGTGTGTTTCTGTTAAGGATCTCCTAGACAAGCTGTACAGTTAGATGTCATTCGGAAATTTCAATACGTCAAAAAAAGTACAACTAGTCATAAATCTCAAGATAACTATAAAGAACATGGTAACTACATTCCTCGTTTCAACCCATCGGTTCACAAGGAAGAAGACCAAACTTGTTACAGATGTAAACAAGTAGGTCATATCAGTTATAATTGTAAAAATGCACCTCAAGAAAAATCAGCACATAGTTACAAGACAGGTTCAAAAGATCCCACCAATTTTAATAAAAATAATTTAAATAAAGAAGTAAAATCTAAAGAGACAATGACAACTAAAACGATAAACTGTGTTCAAGATGATTTGCTCTCAGAAGACTTTGTTAAAGTATCCCAAATTCTGGCCACAATAAACGGAAATACGACTATTGATGCTTTACCCGATATTGGATCCTGTGTAACGTTACTTAGAAGGTGTTTTGTTCCAGAAAACACAACCATTTTTCCATGACAAGATGGATCATACGCAACGCCGGAGGGCAATTTCACACCAAGTGGTTGGACAAGTCTCAGAATACAAGTTGAAAACATTGACTATGTTATGCCAAAGGTAGGTTTATGTGATAAATTACCAATTGCAATGATTCTAGGACGTGATTGGCAAAGAGCAGTACAGGCAACAATAACTATTGAACCGAACGGTGCTGTATGTATAACAACTCCATCATCAATTCAAGAATTTGGATGCATTAAATCCAAAAATGCATTTGTTGGATGTGTTGTACAAACCAGATATAACAACATGCCACTTATTACCAAAACATCTGAGATGAAAACCAAAAAAGTAGACCAACCATTTCTTAATCAAGAACAAACCCAGAAACTTGAATCTTTGCTTAACTTATATGAAGACATTTTTTCAACACCTGAAGCTGAAATTGGAGAATTTCCTGACATAGAGATGGAGATTTCCTTGACAAACGACAAGCCTATTAAATATAAACCTTATAAAGCAACAGATCCAGACAGAATTTTCATGAGAAATCAAGTAGACAAATGAATAGCACTAGGAGTGTGCCGCATGTCTAACTCGCCGTATGCAGCACCTGCCTTCGTTGTAGATCAACCATTCCATGAGTCAACTCCAAAGCGATTGGTTGTCGACTACTCAAGAACTATCAATCCAATCACAATAAAAGACCCATTTCCAATTGATCAAATGGATTTAATGATCAATAAAATAGCTGGAAAAAAATTCAAATCACTTGTAGATATCAAACACGCTTTTAATAATTTTAAAATTTAAGAAAATGATATTTTTAAAACTGCTGCGGTGACTCCCGACTACCACATTGAATTTCGCAGAGTTATATTTGGACTTGCTAACGCACCAGCACTTTTAGCTAGTTTAATTTCGATTGCTTATGGTGATTTACTTAAAATAGGACTAGCAAAGTATTATGATGATTTAGCAGCAGGACATGATTCATTCGAAGAGCACTTGAAGTTTTTACAGTCACTTTTTGAAGCCACAAGAAAATACAGCCTGAAATTTACCAAAAACAAATGTAGTTTTGCTGTACAGGAAATAAAGATTCTAGGTAGAATACTAGATGAGAAGGGAGACAGACCAGACCCTGAACGTGCCCAAGCAGTTACAAGGTACAAAACATTAAGTACACTTCATGAACTCAGAAGCTTTTTAGGATTTGCCAACGCATTAGGACGGTACATAAATCATTTTGCGTCCATTGCAAGACCCTTCACCAATATTTTAAAGAATTAACAATATCAAGTAACAAATCATCTAACTATAAAATTGTGTTATCAGATGATGAATATCAAGCTTTTGTTAAACTAAAAGTAGCAATTACTTCTAACCCAGTTCTTGCAGCCTTTCGTCAAAACGTGCCAACCACAGTAGAGACAGACGCAAGTTATGAATTCCTAGGTGCTTGTCTCTCCCAGATTCACGATGGCAGTACCTGCATAATATAATATGCAAGTAGGACTCTCAAAGATCCAGAAAAACGTTACCACAGTAATGAGTTAGAGGTTACAGCAGTACATTGTGCTATCTACAAAATATGTTAATATTTTTTCAACAAAATTAACCAGATTTATATCAAAAAATAATTCACAAAGAACGATATTCCATTATTAAGCAAGTTAATGATCAAAATAAAGAAATTTTGGATAAAAAGGAAGACAATGTGGATGAATTGGATTTATTTTTTAAAAGTATGGTTGCAACAGCTAAAAAATTACCTACCAAAGGAAAGCTTGAAGCTAAAAGAAAAATATTTTCATTGATGACAGAACTAGAAGAAAAGTATTTGTTATATGAACAACCTATAAATCAAAATACTGTTCACCAAATGTCTAATATTCTTGGTCCACATACTGCTCAGCAACATTTTCAAACATTACATCTTATTCAGGGGATATCCCGAGTGCGTCCCGTTTTCAATTTTTACCTTTTTCATAGCCCGAGTGCGTCCGCAGTCTTGTCGACAAATTATATTACAGTGCCCGACTGCGTCCGCCGCCTTATCGACAAATTATAATGAATAGCCCGAGTGCGTCCTCGGTCTACAGCTGCTATAGGTATCTATTTAAGATATTTTAACACTGGAAACTTAATTTTAGCTCCGATAATAATTTTGCATGATTACAAGTTAAAACTTACTCAGTTATGGTCAATAAGTGCTATAGTGAAATTTGTGTGCGAAGTGTAGTGCCGTAATATTATATAATACAAATTGTCAATTTGCAAATTTTCAAAATGTCATTGCCCGAAAACATGCTAAGTCAACACGGTAAGGAAATAAAAATTATTGACGGGTACAAATTAAGATTTCATAAAATATTAAATAATAATGTAATACGATGGAATTGTACAAACAAAAAGTGTAAAGCATATTTGAAAACCGATGAAAGTGGAGATACTGTTATAGAGAATAAATTAGATCATTATGACCATGAAAAAGACGTACATGACATTATGGTTAGACAAGTTATTCGTAATTCATTAAAAAGAAAAGTACAGGATGAGATTTGTGAACGGCCACTTAAATTAATACATCATAAACTTCAGAAAATTAACACAGATACATTAAATAAAACTGATATGAATTGCTTTCGCAAAAGGGTGTTTCACGATGAACTGACAATTGCAATAACTTTTGTTCTACTGAATATTTTCAACTTTTTTTTTTTTTAAATTGTCAATTGTCGTCTGTGCTACATTTAAAATATTTTTCGATTTTTTTTTAATATTTTTTATGTAAAATTTAAAAATTTAAAAATTTACTATTTGATATTTGAAAAATTCAAGATAGCCATTTTGTAAATCCGATTTTTAGAAAAATTTCGGTGTCAAAAACTTACACTAAGGTCCAGTCAATAATTTTTAAAATTTGTTTAAATTCAAATTTATTTCCTGTTTATCAGTGTTACAGCAATATTATCGATTTTGAATTATTTTTTCCAAGAAATAACAAAATTTGTTATCACGAATAATCAACAAATATGATACCAGGGGTACGAAACTCCGTGCGTTGGCCGAATCCATAGATAATAGAATTATCTATGGCCGAATCAGGCGATTGCGGCCTTGAACACGGTCTCCAGGTGGGAATGGTAAACAAGCAGACCCCACGTAGCGTATCCCGCCTATGTTCCGGTAAACAGTTTTTCAATACGGTTATAACATCATGTTGGTAACTTGGTGTACGGAAACAGTTTCAATGTTCGGACTTCAGATCATAGGTGGTATTACAATATACACAATAAGTAATAACACATAAAGTATGTATTACATAACGTATGTACGTGAACACGTGATTCGTTTATTGATGTTTGTCAAAAAATGTTTGGTGTTAATTAGTGTTTGGGTTTTTAATTTATGCGTAATATAATGTAATATCAATGTCAATTATAAGTATATAACATGATCATTGACTATTATTCAAAAATTAATGACCAGTGACCACCCACCATTTACCACCACCATAATATGTGCTGGACTCTTAGATATAAAGTACTTTTTATCTATAATAACTGGACTTCAATGTTACTGTAATCATGTCAATCATGATCCATGACAGTTATTCATCCAGCAAGTAAATTATATTACCTACTCAAGTATTCTTAAAAAAAAAACCTTACAGACAATTCAAGAGAATATGAAACCATTTTTATTGCATTGTAAGCCAAGCAATTTAATGAGTGTTTATACATTAATGTTGAACCGTGACAATGTTGTATAATACACAAGTAATCTAAACTTAAAGAGATGTTTTTCAAAAATATCTCATGAAAATTTTAAGGAATACCATCTACCTAGATGATAAAGTACTATGATAAAGGTATACTATTTTTTTTTACATATTATTAATTATAATTAAATTATTGTATTTTAATGTCATAGGTAGTTTTATAAACTATTGTCAAACAGTACATACATTGGGGGCTATTGATTTGGTCCATTCCAGTAATGATAGTTATGTTTCATCAGTGAATAATATTATTTTCTCCAACTAACTTGTACTTGTGAATTGGATTTGAATTGGATTATCAGAGAATAATAGTAAAATACCATGTTAACTGTAAGTTGAATCATCTAACTTGTGACCTAGTACTTAATATGTATATTTTAATATTTTTAAGTTTTAATACCATTTCAGAACTTTGGTCATAGGACCTAGTATAGGACTAAGAATACAGAATATGATTGATAACTAATTGATATATTTTTATTGAATTAACTGTTGTGTTTCGATCATCACATGTATGGAGATTAAATATGTCAACATTTACGTATTCTATTTTCACAATTTATTATTTTAGTGCATATGAATTGCTATTACACTAAGTACAATTAATAACAACATCAACATTCTAAAATGTAAGTTAATTATTTAAATACTATTCATTTAATTTTAATATCTAAAAAAAATAGGTTTTAATTATTTTTCAGGATATCAATTTTAATATTTGAAATAACTATGAATGTATTAATGGAATTATTAAAATTCAAAAATCAATACGTCATCATCATTGAACATTTTGTAAAATCAAGTAAAATTAATTTGTAGTTGTAGTTATAGTTATTTTTATAGTTTTTTTTTTTTAATGCAGTGTTGTAGTGATTAAGTATTTCTAATCTAAATAGTTGAATGGATGAATTTTGGTACTAAACTTAATTTATAACAAATTAATATTTTATGAAAAAAAGTATTTAGATAGGTATTTTTAATATTTACCTAGATTGTATGTATACATTTTTCCTATTAGTATTAATACTTGTGAATAAAATACCTACCTTTAATGTTACAAAATATTTCACAAATATTCAAAATTAAAATTAAAAAATTATTTTAAAATGCGTATTAAAGCATATTACATAATAATTTATTACCTATAAATAGTTTTACATTCTACCTTTTACACTTGAAAAAAATACCTCATTCATCCATGTTATTTTTGCGGTACAATAATAATACAAGCATTTTTTTTTCAGTTTAAGTAATATATGTACTTTATGCTTTGGGAATTATGGCTTTATTTATTTGATTTCTAAGTGAATTTTACATTTACACTAATACTCTGCTAATGCAATCCGTTAAGTAAATACTAATATTTGTTTAGTTTTTTGAATAAATATAGTCAAATACTCTCAAAAAATACAGAACTATATAAATTAAACTAAAAAAAGAATTCCTCAAAATAACTCTATTTAAATTATAAATTACTTACTACCTACCTAACCTAACTGCAAATATAATGATTTAACAGCGCGTTGTTTTGCAGACCATCTGGTCGTACTATAACCTTTCAATGAAAATTTAAGATGTTCTTTAAGAATATCCCATCTCTGAGTAGAACTAGAGAAAAAATTGAACAATTTTTGAACTATACCAAAGAAATTTTCTAATTCTGGTGAACATTTAGCGGCATAAAGACCTACTAAGTTTAGACTGTGGGCCGTACAAGGAATAAACCTAGCCAAAGAGTTTATAGAACTGATCCTAGCTTGAACACCTTTCCATTTCCCGGCCATATTAGCTCCATTGTCATATGATTGACCGCGACAGTAGGATAAATCAATACTATGATTAGATAAGCTTCTCAAAATATCTTCTGTTATTGCCTCACCAGTTTTTTTAAAAACTTGTAAAAAACCTAGAAAACTTTCCACGATTTCACATCCATTTTCATTTACAACCACATAACGAATAACTTGAGACATTTGCTCTTCGTGTGAGATATCTGGCGTGCAGTCGAATAATAATGAATAATATGTAGCGCTTTTAATTTGTGAAAAAATTGTATTCCTAACTTTATTTGCAATAATTTCTAAAAATTCATTTTGAATTTCATGTGAAAAATATGTAACACTTCCTTTTTTATGACGTTCAAGATGAATTCTTAGAGGCTCGTTATAATGAGATACTAAATTTACTAGATTTAAAAATTTCCCACTTTGATTAGATTTACCTATATTAGAAACAAGTTCGTCAGTTCCACGAAAAGCACTGTTCTCCATTGCTAGATGCATAATTATGTCAATTATTGCTTTTAATACTAATCTCCAATGATTTTCTTCTAACTTTATTTCATTTTGTAAATCAATATCAATTCCTTTACCTTCACAAATTGACATTTCCAGCATTTTCCACGAACAAAAATACTTTTTATGAATATTAGAATTTTCATGTTCTGGTATTCTTTCTGAAAATTTTTTCCAATTAATAAACCCATCTAATGCTAATTTTGACATATTTTTTTCATTTGAATTTAAAAACAATTTGCATGGTACACAAAATAATGCATTTTTTGATTTGGAGTAGCTAAGCCAAGTTCGACGACATTGATTTCCATTAACAAGATTTTTGAAAAACCAAGAAACATTAACAGATCGCCCTTCTCTTTCAGATCTAGTAAGATCCAATTTTTCAATATAGTTCATTCTCATTCTAACAATATGAGTTCTTTGAGAATCTATTATTTTTTCAGGCCATGTACCACAATCTTTAAAATCCAAAGTTTCATTTTCACTTAATTTTAATGACATCAATTCGGACACATTTAGACTCTTAGCTTTGTTATGATCAGAATTAATTTCCTCGACAATTATCCCAGAACTACATTTCACAGTATTCTCATCCTTTTCTACATCTGTCCCATTTTCTTCGTTTTCTATAAAATATTAGATATTTATTGTACTGTATTATTTCAATAAAATATAGTTATATATTATACAAATTAATTCACAAAGTTTTCCGAAAACTATTATTTTAGAAATTATACCTGTTTCAAATTCCCGGTTAGGTATTAAATTCTAAAATAATACGTATATTATAATATCGATAGTAATAAATAATAATAATACTAAATTACGTCATTAATTATTATAATACAATATAGATCTAGTATTAATTATAATAGAGAATAATAATTATGAATAATTTCTAACCTGTGCTACATTGTGTGTTAGTACTCGTATTACGCAGCCAATTATGAAAATACGCCGAAGTTCGCTCATTTTCATTTTTTTTTTCGAGAGCTTTTTGCCGGAACTTAAAACCAGATAATTTTTTTTTGGTTCCATCACAAAAAAATATACTGTAACACTTATACTTAAACTGTAACATTCATTAGATACCGTCCAGTGAACAGTGAAGTGAACGCTAAACACTGTTATAATAAATATAAATACCACTGTTGAATAGCAGAAAATACGCACACATGAGTACACAATGCTTGGTTATCGGCTTATCGCTGTGCAATTAGTTCGTCTATGACTGACCGATACAATTATACAACATTAGTTTATCTCAATTGCAGATTTCCCCGATTGTGTTTTTGGCTATTTTCAGCAAAATCATAAAATCGATAATATGATATAATATGTCGAATGTCTTTTCTTAATCATAACCAGTATGACTACATTGAATTAAAACTATTTATTTGAAAAACTTGTGTACTTCAAAAAAAAAGATAAATGTAATAAAAATGATGAGTTTAAAATTTGAAATTTGCGCCCCTCTATGATAAGCGCCCGGGGCATGAAACCCGGATCGCCCCCCCCCTAGATCCGGTACTGCACAACCGAAATTAAATAAAATACTTTTTAGAATATATGTATTAATATTTATTTATTATAATAATTAATGGAGATGTTATTCCTAATTTTGTGGCCAGCATTTTGGAATTTGGAAAGATGTTATTGTGCCTTTTTTCCGGTCATACACAGGACACCGTGGATTGTTCTATAATTCAAAATGTAATACATAATGATATTTTATTAAAAATGTATTTATTATAATACAGGTAAATTTCTATATACCTTATCATCACCTTGCCAGTATACAAATCTTGACTTTGCCTTTCTCATAAGGTACTGATCTTCTAACGATTGGTCCTTCAAATTCAGGGATAGTAAGACATCAATAAATGAAGAGTGTTTTGGACACCACCATTCTTTACATTCCTATCACCATTATTACAATATTTATTTACGTTACGTTAATTATTAATAACATGTTTGTAAAAATGCATTATTTAACTAAGTACCTTATTTACTGAGACAAAACTTGTATCACTACACTCAGATTTTTCTTCCAAACTAATTTTACCCAGTTTTGCGCACACCAACTTTTCTTCTTTACATATTCTTTTACTGTGTTAAATCATTAATAACATTTTTGTAAAAATGCATTATTTAACTAAGTACCTTATTTACTGAGACAAAACTTGTATCACTACACTGAGATTTTTCCTCCAAACTAATTTTACCCAGTTTTGCGCACACCAACTTTTCTATAAAATCAATTTTAGTTTGTATGGGCATCAACTCATGTTTTTCAACATAACTTTTTTCAGAAGTTGCAGGTTTCTAAAATTTAAAAAATTATTAATTTCATAAGAATTTAAACTACATTTTTGTATTAAATAATAATGAGACTACCGATTCATTTGGATCATCAACATTTTGAACATTGGTTGAACCTTTTTCCAATTCCAAGCTAACTAATTTTTGTTCAAGTGTTGCCTATAAAAATATTACGATAAGCATACTTTTTAATACTTGAGTTATTCAGAAATTAAAACCTACCAACTTCTCCTTATACGCTTGATTTTTCAATTGCAGTTTTTTCTGTAGAACATATTTAAAACATCATTATTTTTTTATTTATTAATAGGTTTAAATTTAGTATAATATTTATTTTTTTTGTAATTTTTAAATACTTACAACTTTTCCATTTGACAAATTAATTTTTGCTTTTAATGTGTCCTACAAATATTTTATTATAATTAGCATGTTTAGTTTGTACAATACAAAATTAAATAAAGATTTTAGGTTACTTACAATCTCACTGGTTAATAACTTATTTTCATTTTCCAATGCCTCGTTATCATCAGAAATATCTTTCAGCTCAGTCTTTTTATTATTTAATTCATAAAGAACTGATTTATATTGCTGTATAAAATATTTACCCATGATTAGTTTTTTATTGTAATGTAAAATTAAAATAATTGTACCATAGTATTAGTTATTTTTTTTTATTTTATTGTATTATTTTGTATGTCTATTATGTTAATGTTACATATGTATTTATAAACATAAATTTAAATTTTTAAATAATTTAAATATGAAATTATTTAATACAAATATTAATGTATGATCAAAATATAAAATTATGATTATTAAATATACCTGTCTTATAACATCCATTTCTGCAATCGATTCTCCAAATGCAAATTTGAAAAATTCCGATTCTGTAATCTGTTCTCCCCGGTTATTTTTTTTGTACTCAGTGTACAATGTACCAACGTCTTCAAGAGCATCAATTTTTGAAAAATCCATTGTGATATCCAAAATACACAAAATTAAATATTGAAGAGGTAAAATTGTAGAACCATGTGTTAATATAAACCCCGGAAATACAACTGATGACAAGAATCTGAATTAAACCTTCACACATCAAAGATAAAATGTCTGGTGTCGTAGATAAGATAAAAACCGATTTGGTTTTTACTATGATTTGCTATTTTTAAAAATATAATGTACTACTATACTCGTAAACTATTTACCTGTATGATAGGTCTATCTGACAATTAGCAGCTTTATGTGGTAAGCTATACAATTGCAATAAGCTTTGCAGTGTTTTTTTGATTATTTTTTTTTTAATTTGAAACATGCCTACTATATACAACAAAAACGAGTATGCCGATATGTTGGCAGTTTTTAATGAAGTAGGAAGGAGTACATTAAAAGCATCTCGTTTGTACTTACTACGATACCCTCAGAGGAGACAGCCATCAAGAGCTACTTATGAGAACATAGACAAATGTTTACGCGAAAAAGGTAATATTAAGCATTTAATTTTTAAATGCTTGATCATAAAATATGTATAGATGTTTTATCATGAAAATTTGAATATGCTTAGTAGGAAATTTTACTAAGAATTAAAAAAAGCTTCCAATTGGATTTAATTTATTAACCAACCTAAATTTCATATTACATTTATTACCTACCAAAGTATGCAATCATATTAATTATAATATCAAAAATAACAAAACAAAACTAAAAACTGTTTTTAAGTTAATAGTCTTTAAAATAATTATAAATAAATAATAAACATATACATTTGTATTTATATAAACAATTTTAAAATTTTATTTAATTTAAGATGGTGCAAAAAAAAAGCTTGAATGGCTTAAGAACACGCATAAAAAAATTAAAAAAATATTACTTATAAAATATAACAAAATCCTTGCCTTAGAGTAGCATACATATATTAAAACAGTATTATAATTAAAACATTAATTTAATTTACACAGTATACAATATCTCGTAAAAATAATACAAAAATTAACTTTAAAAGTAGTTATAAAATAATTAACAATATTACTAATTACATTTTATCATTTCAAGGTACTTTTCCGACCGGTGTAAAAAAAGGAAAATCTCATTCTGCGTTGGATGAAGATCACCAATGTAGTGTTTTAGCTGCGTTTGAACTTCAACCACATGCATCAATTAGAATGATAGCTAGTCAAACAGATATTAGTTGTTCTTCGGTCTACCGTATCTTACATCAAAATTCTTACCATCCTTATAAAATCCATTACGTACAAGGGTTAAAACCGACAGACCCAATTAGAAGATAAGATTTTATATCACATATGGTAGTGTTGCATGAAGAAGATGAAAACATTTTTTCAAAAATTTTGTGGACTGATGAAAGTTGTTTTAACAATAATGGCATTGTAAACCGTAGAAATTCACACTTTTGGAGTAAAAATAATCCACATTGGACACGTGAAACAAATGCACAAATTAGATGGTCAATCAATGTTTGGTGTGGGATTTTTAATAATCAGTTAATCGGACCATATTTTTACGACGGTACATTAACTGGTCTTCGGTACCTTGATTTTCTGGTCAATATTTTGCCTGATTTGATGGCTGATGTACCTGATGAAGTTTGTGACAATATGTGGTTTCAGCAGGATGGTGCTCCACCTCACAACGCCAATGTAGTTAAAGATCATTTGAACCAGCAGTATCCATCACAATGGCTTGGTACAAATGGTCCAGTCAAATTGCCTCCACGATCTCCTGACCTGACTCCGTTGGACTTTTTCTTGTGGGGTTACTTAAAATACAAGGTCTATGAGCAACAATCAAAATCCTTGGTAGATTTAAAAGAACGTATTACTGCAGCATGTCGTACAGTAACAACGACAATGTTGAAATCTGTCATGGATTCAATCATACAGCGATACGAAAAATGTTTAGAAAATGATGGAGGGCATTTTGAAAATGTATTGTAAACTGTAGTTAATGTTATTTTGTTATTGTTTAATAAATAAAATACTTAATATTACATACGCAGTTGTACTTAGTGAGCGTTTACCGTTGACACAATATGGACAATTATTGTCTGTTCGTGTTGGATCACAGATTTTATGTACAATATTTTGTTTAATGTACATTTCTATTATATGTTTGTTGAATATTTGTAATTATTTGGTTGAAGTATGGCTTTTAGGTCCGGATTACCGATTACCGGATTACGTGATTACGGTATAATATCAATATTATGCGCATAGATAATACCACGGTCTTAGATGATAAGATAAGAATAAACTTATCAATCTCAGTGGCCCGTGATACGTTGGATTTTTTCATGGAAAAATCCAGATAGTAAATACCTAAGTCAGATCAAATAAATTGCTTAGAAATAATATAAATTTGTGCAAACTTCAAAAAATTGTAGAAAACAAACGGCTGAACATTTTACATTTTTTTTTTTTTGCGGACATATTTAAAAAATCATATCAACAAAATGGCTATTTTGAATTTTTCAAATATCAAATAGTAAATTTTTTAATTTTTAATTTTACATAAAAAATATTAAAAAAAAATCGAAAAATATTTTAAATGTAGCGCAGACGACAATTGACAATTTAAAAAAAAAAAAGTTGAAAATATTCAGTAGAACAAAAGTCATTGCAATAGTCAGTTCATCGTGAAACACCCTGTATGTCAAAAGTGTCCATTGTGTGTTTATGATCCTGACGGATCCTTTATTTTCAAAACAAAGCCCCGAGTGGTTGCTCACGTGTGTAATGTTGTATAGTGCATGTTGTGTTCCGTATGTTGGTGTGTGTAAGATAGACAGACATATAATAAAACTATAACAATGTTTAACTAGATTAGTGTCTATGATTTCATTATCTAATTATTCATTTAAATTTACTTATATACTAATATTTTATACATTCTATATTTGTATATATTTTCTTAATTATTATATACTACTTCATTAAATAGTTGTAAATGATTCATGTGGACTCTTACTATTTTGTTATTCTTCCTAATCGATACGTTTACGGGTTCATGGACCTCTACGATTTTGTATGGACCTATCCAATTAGGTTCTAACTTGTTTTTCTTTTTCATAGTTTTCATAAGTACCTTATCTCCTATTTCTAACTCTATCGGGTTAATGTGTTTGTGGTAATTTGATTTAGATTTTAATTTTGATTCAATTAAATGTTTTTTTGACATTTGCCTTGCTTCCTGCATACGAGTTCTCAAATCACTTACGTAATCATTGTAATTATAACCTGTGATGGTGGTTTTAAAAAGCTAGATGGACTAACCGGTTGTATACCGAATACTAGTTCATAAGGTGTGAACTTATGTGCCGTATGTGGTGTTGTGTTATACATATACATCGCATAACTTAACATTTCACATCAATTTTCTTGTTTTTCGTCACTCAAGTTCCTTAAATATTCCTTTAACGTTTTATGGCTACGCTCAAGAGCACCATTGGTCATTGGTAAATACACTGTGGTTTGCATTTTATTAATTTTTAATAATTTGCACATCTGTTTAAATAACGATGATAAAAAATTTGAACCCTGATCACTTAATATATTTGTAGGAATTCCGAAATAACAAACGAATTTTTCTACAAATGTCTTAGCTATGGTCGCTGCATCCGTGGTTTTTAATGGATGTGCCGCCGAAAATTTAGTTAAATCCTTGATTTTGTCAAAGTTCCTACTATATCTAAAGCTACTCTTTCGAATGCTCTCGACGAAGTGGTGGTAATTACCAAAGGTTGTTTACTTTTCCGTTCTTCTTTATTAATTTGACACGGTTTAAAATTGTTAATATTGTTCCTAACTTCTTTTTTCATGCCTTTCCATTGACGTAAACGTTTTACTGTTCTGGAAACTCCCTGATGACCTCCTATGCACGTCATATGTTGTTCTTCAATTAATGCTTTTTTTACCTCATCGGAAATTTTATAATCTGTATATATTTTTACTTTAATATCAGTACCTTTGAAAATGTATCGTCACATACTCCTGACTATATCATAATTAAGATCAGACATTATTTTTGGAATTGCTAAAATGGTAATCTTTTCCTTTACGCATACATTTTTTACATTAATTAGAGTCTCGTATAGTGTTTTATACGTTGGACTTTGATTAAACAATTCTTCGGTAAAAGCATATAAATATTTCCTACCACTATCATGTACTACTATGACCTCCTTCACCTTTGTGTTTCTGAGTACCTGGTTACCTATGTGTCCTAATTGATTTATATACTCGCGTAGTACATTAAATTTTAATTGTACATCTGCAGTTAATGTTAAAAAAAATATCATAATCGCTCGGAATATCATTGTATGTTTCATTAATTTCTTCGATATTATTATTTATATACACATTGTTGTTTTTCATAAATTCTACGAACGACATTTTATCCAAATTTTTGATTACGCATATACGTGATAATGCATCTCCATTACTGTGTTCCGTGCACGTTTTATAAATTATCTCATAGTCGAATTTCTGTAATAATATACGCCATCGTGCTAACCTTGAGTTCATGTCTGATACGTTAAATAGCCAAACTAGTGGCCTGTGATCCGTAATTATTTTAAATCGTTTTCCCCATAAGTAAGGCCTAAAATGTTTAATATCAAAAACGATACCCAAACATTCTTTTTCGATTGTAGAATAGTTTACTTCACTTGTATTTAGAACTCTAGACGCATAAGCGATTGGCTTATCATTACCCATTTCCTCTTGCGTTAGTACACAACCTAAAGCATAATTCGAAGCATCGGAAGCTAATAAAAACTCTTTTTCGAAATCTGAGTACTGTAATATTGGTTCTCTAGTTAAAATATTTTTCAATTTTTCGAATGCGTATTGATGCGCATCTCCCCATGCAAATTTTGTGTTTTTCTTTAGTAAAGAAGTTAACGGCTTCGCGATTTTCGCATATTCTTCGATGAACCTTCTATAGTAACCTGTTAACCCTAAAAATGCCTTAATGTATGTCGTATTTTTCGGTATTGGTACTTTTTTTACGCATTCTATTTTTCCTTCGTCGGGTTGTACCCCTTCGGCTGATAATTTGTGTCCTAAAAATACTACTTCCTTCCTTAAAAAGTGACATTTACTAGGTTGTTATTTCAAATTGTTTTCCCTAAGCTTTTCAAAAATAATCTGTAATTTCTTAATCATAGAACTAAATGACTCTGCACTTATTACAATATCGTCCAAATATGCGTACATACTTTGATTTTATAATATACAGATAAGCCATTCTATTGTTTATTGTGGCAGCGGCTAACTGCATTCAGCCGTTAGACGTTGCTGTGTTCGACTGCATTCAAGAGGGGTAAACATAGGATGGGTGCTGTTTTGCTATAATACGCGTACTACGATAGAAGATAATGTACTGCGATTCTATTTTTAGTATTTGTTTTGATCGATGATATATTTTTCTCTGACGACAAACACAACAATGTTTTGGATAATTGAATCAATTGAGTGCTAGTCGCGTTACGTGATAAATAATAAAGAACCAAATTTGTAAAATATAATATTATCATTGATTTTATGGAATATAAAAATATTTATTTTACTGTACTTCATTTAATAAAACTGTTTCCACATCCACATTTACATACACGGCAACTTCGGTATATTTATCTTAAAATATTTAATTAATTTTATAATTTATAATGTCTGGTAATATCTGTCAATATGTAAATTGCAACAAATCGAAAAAAAACTTTAAATCATTGAAAATGTTTCAATTTCCGAGAGGTGAAACTCGATTAGACGCATGGACCATTAATGCAGGTTAGAACATTTTTAATTTATGTTAGTTATTTTTGGTAGATGGTTATAAGTACTTAAATTTGTTTAATTTTATGTTGACATTTATGATATTTATAGTATTAGGACAAGGATTTTAATGAATTTGCATTTACAATTGTATTAGTGTTTTAAATCGACGTAATAGACGTATTAATTTATTGTTTTAGGGAATTTAAAATTATTATCTTGTAAGGTCACAGAATTTAGACACCATATTAATATTGTCCCCATGTCATAAACCATTTATATTTCTCTTTCTTAAAATATCAATTTACCCGCGCGCGGCTGGTATCGACCAATATTATATAAACAGCTATCCCCCGATCCCCACCATCTGCAGTGTCCCGTCGCCAACGGCCGTTGCTGGCCGTCGGTCGGTGCCGCTGGGCGCGCCTGTCGTGTCCGCCGGTGTGCGCCGGCAGGGCAGTCTGGACTGATATTCCCTCAAATTATTGTGTATTCCCCCCCCCCAACAACCTACACTGCTCTGCCCCACTTCTCTGGATTTTCAAACAACATCGACCGTTGCGGCCCATGGAACACTGCGTCTCACCGGTAGTCACTCGCCTTTTTACCGACCTCTGAAGCAACACGACGTACGTTTGTCTTCACGTCCTAGCTTAACTGAGGCGCTGAGCGCAAAAGTGGCCTAATCGACTCAACTATCATTCTGAGTAAATTAGTTTCAATGATTTTACTAATTTAGTTTCAATGAAAACAATTTTAATTTTTTGTTTCTTTTTTTTTTGGTGGGGGGGTTCTTTTTGAAATCCAATGTAGATTATATCAGCGTTTTTGAAACCAAAAAAAAGTCAAAATTCCCTAACTTAATGTTGAATAGGTCACTTTTGCATTTTTCTTTTAACCATTTCATGGTTATAAAATGTGGTTTAGGTCGAATTTGTATAAAAGAATAAACCATGTCTTGTCTACTAAATCCTTTTTATTAACTTTATATACAATTTCAAAATAACAATATGGGTAGTTGAAATTCAAACTTATGAATTGTTCAAATCACATATTTTTTACCCGGTTTTAAAACTATAAAATAGCATAATATTATTTTAACAAATTTTAAACAATCACAATAAATTAATTCAGACTTGTGAATTTTTTGGAAATAAAATATAACATAATGATTAATATCTACCTTGAAGTATTATAAAAACAACATATTATTATAACAATTTAAACAATAACAATAAATTAATTATTCAGATTTATACAGTTTTTGGACTTAAAATATTATAGAAACAGCATATTATTTCAATACATTTTAAATAATAACAATAAATTTATTCAGACTTATGAATTGTTTGGAATAAAATATAACATAATATTATTATTATTTCTTAAAATTACAAAATTAATAATTAATTAAAACAAAATAAATAATTATTTATTTGTTGTGTTCAATATTTTTATAAAAATCATGATGTATAGGTGGTATGAACTGCATTAGTTCAGTGAGATCATTGTATTTTTCTTTCTGAATAGAATGACCATTAGGGTAGAGTTTTTGAAGTTCTTTTGGTTTAGCCATTATACGTTTAGACAAATTCACACAAGAAAATGTAACAAATTCATTATTTGAATATTTGTAAAACATATGGTAAGGTTTGTCGTTTGTAAATAAGATCCATTGAAATTTTAACCATTCTACTTTCTCTCCTTCACCATTTATTTTTCTATTAGTGATGTCTTTTTCAAGAAGTACAGTGGAAAAAAAATCTTCTTGAGTCATTTGTACAACCTTAAAGGGATTTTTTTTTCGAGCATTTAAAATGACTTTAATCCAATCATTTGGAACATAAATTTCGGGATGATACTTTTTTTGTTTTTCAATAACCCCAAAATCTCTATCGCATGGTAAATAAGAATGTCCAGACACTAAAAATTTATGATGTATTTGTGTGGGAGACAAGTAGTCAGAACATACAATGAAATTACATATTAAAGCCATTTTAATGTTGCGATTCTGTCCACCACATTGATCACTGTACATTATAAGTTTTTCTGTACTTACATAATTCTTAACAAAGTGTAAAATACAAGACCCAATTTCTTGTGGCCCTCTTGAGGCTATGGACTCATCCCATACATACATATAAGCATCACCTGTACTTAGATTGTGTATACCTAAATTATATGTCCACAATTGCCTCTTGTAATAAGCTATACCAACAGATAAGGATGGAGTTGCAAGAGTTTTCATGAGATCAAAAGCAAAAACAGTAGTTTGATTATCGGTTTTAGCTGCTTGTACATCACAATCCATCCCATTGCGAGCAGCTTCAGCTTTTCTTAGATGTAATTCATGTTCTTCATTTAATTTCACAATATCTTCTTCAGATGCTGTTTTAATTTTAGTAATAAATATGTCACATTTTTTGCAACTGTCAGAAACTGGAGGATGAAATGATAAATTAAAATCTTTATCAAAGATTTGTCTGAATACATACTTTGAAACTGGATCATTGTGCTCTTGTTTGTATAGATTATACATCAATGAGATGTTTAAATTGGAGCTTAAATAATTCTTATTTAAATTTTTATGTCTAGAATAATGTGATGTAGATGTAGGAAATTTTTTAATAAAATTTATAACTTCAATACGCCTTTCAGTTGTTACTTTATTTACAGCTGCACTTTTTCCACGGGCATCTTTAGGCGGAGCAGTACCAACAACTTTATTTGCTAAAGCTCTTGTAATGCGACCATCAGATATCTTAAATGAACGTTTAAAAAAATCTTTGCAAACTTTAATGTAGCTTGTATCAACATTAGTTAGATTTACAGGAAAACTATATATTCGAATAAATTCTTTTCTGCTATGTGTATTTTTATTATAAGTTCGATTTTTTTTATTAACAGTTATTAAATTGCACAAATAAGAAGTTTGCAAATTATGACACCCTAGTGCATAATAGGATTTGAACACATTTTCTCTGTGCTCTAAAGAAACTAATTGATGACATTTATTATGACACATACATTCAAAATCTTCAAAATATTTTTCAGGAACTTCTTTACCTTTAGCAGTTATGTATTTTTTACCAGTATTTCTTAATTGTTTTCGAATGTTCCTTTTCCATTTTGTTTCGTCTCTGATCCTCTTTCTGCCTTTATTTGAAGTATCTTCATTGCTTTGATGAAAAATGTCTGAATGTCAGAAGCATCATCATTAACTATAATAATTTGTGTGTTATCATTTTGAGTTTCTGAAGTTGATGTATCATTAGCTGATGAGTCATTAAGATCAGATGGGACATATGAAGTCGATGAATATTCGTCTTCAGATTCTGACAGAAGATTGCTAATAAAATCTGTTAAAAATATTTATGTTTGTCAACAGTTTTATAATTAATTAACGCATTTGAACAGTTTAATATTAAGTACATTACCTGTAGACATTATAACGTTGGGACACTTTGCAACACTTGTTAAATTTATTCTTTACTAGTCTATTATAAGTCCATCACATTTGCAATATTTGCATTTCACTTTCACAATAAGCAGTAGGTGTTTGAGTATTTCATAAAAGTATAAAACATATTAAAATACCGAATAACGAATACAAATGATAACGTATCCTATACCAATTACCATGTTTATCAAATATTATATTACAACCGCGGTTGTATATCTTTAGCCATGATTAAAACCATAAATAATAAAACTTTTATTTATAATTAAAACGGTCTATTAACGGTTTTATTAAAATTTGGTTACCATAGTGGCCTATTCTGCGATAATGTAAATAGGCCAGTGTTGCATTATAATAAAAACAAAAATGATTGGGTGCAACAACAGAATAGAGCTGCTATCTAGGTGTAAAAAAAAGAAATTAAATAGGCCGGTATTGCTTTTATATTAATTACACAATTTTGAACAACGTGGTACAGTTACTTTAATTTTTAATTTTTTGTGGTTTAGGCCACTTTTGCGCTCAGCGCCTCAACTGTGTCCTGCGCTCCGTCGAAAACCCATTTGAACGTGACATTTTCAACTTGATGGGCTAACGTTTCACCAACAGGCTGTGGGGGCCTCAACACCCGAGACAGCATTACCTCGGCTCAACTACGTACAATTGTTCTCCAACGACCACGTGTGCGTCGGTGGCGTCAAGCCAGCCCACCCATATCTGGGGAGTACCACAATATCTATCCACGTCGTAACGTATCAATACTCCCCTTTATTCCCCCCGTTAGTAGAAATTGAAATTAATAGACCACCTTTAAAAAAAACGTGCTTAGACGGCACAGGCCGGTCGCCGACCGCCTTGCTCTGGCGCTGACCGGGCCAGGTGACATTGACCCCAAACAATGTGTAAATTAATAATATTATAATATCCTAATTATGTTTTTTTTTCTCTCTCTTTCCCTGCATTTTATTATATTTGCCATGTGCCACCATATATGTTTTGTGCGTTTGCCATACGTCCCCCTATACTGTTTACTATATCATCTAAAAAATGACAATGTTATTAATTAATTATTTGTATGTCCATGTAAAATACACCAACCTAATTATTCTAATCTTAATTTATTATTAGTGATTTCTTTTTTTCCTAACATAAATCTTGAGGGTTTCATTACCCCATGCGTGTACAAAGCCTGTGAGCTCCACCGACTTGACCCTCGGGTCTCACGCTGTGCGGCTCACAGGTCACGATCGAAGTATTCCCCTTCGGTTGTGGGTGGTTTTTGGTAGTCCACAAAATTATCAAATCCTCACAATCTCTTGATAAATCAAAACTGTACACTAAATATTTATGCCAAGACCATTTTTCACCTGACTGTTTTATGAGTAAAGAAATAACGAAGTTGAAGCACACTGCTATTCCTTATAAATTTAACGATACAGATCAACCATCGACATCTAGTGGTAATGTTCCTTTAAAATTATCATAATTGCTTATAAACAGGGCTCGGAAGTTGTTATATTCGCATGGTTTTTTTTTTTTTTGGGGGGGGGGGCTCGAAGACTTATTGTGATTTTTCACACGTATTGTGTTTTTCAAATCCTTTTCAGTTGACATACATTGTTCCGTTTATAAACTTGCATATATTTTAGTACTTTATAAAAGCATCATGTTTCGAGCCCTGTCTATGTAAAACGTTATGAATTTACGGTTCTGAGCAAAGACGAGATAGATATTTATAAAATATTGTTCAATGTACGAAATCTAATGTGTATCCATATCGCTTATCGCTATCGCCCCATGTCGGGTATAATATAACAGGCACGGGTCGTCAGTCAGTTATCCAACGTTGCGTCGGTGACAATACCTTCGAACTGCGAGTCACCTCATTAGTGACAAAAGTAACTCGATATTCATGTGTTAATTTTTTATTATTATCAATATTATATTAAATTATTATTATCAATAAATTATACAGTCCACTAGTTTATTTTTGTATTACTTATTCAAATTGAAACTGAGCCGAGACATTGGTCCAGACGAACCGGATCGTAACGTACGCGTCAATATTATTACACGCATTGTAGTATTTTGAATTACAAGTTCACGGAAGAAGATCAGTAAAAAGCTTCAAGAAAGAAGACAGCGTCAGGTGAGTGAGTCTCAATTTAACACGTATTTAAATAAAAAGTGGCCTCCTATAAGTCTTATTAATTCGTCCTTGACTCAAAATAAATCCGTTAGGGAAATTGTGCTTAAGCCTATATCCAAAATATTATATCATCATAACATTATAAACGGTAGATAGTGGGTAGAGGTCGATCACAATGGCTGGCGATAATAATGAATTAGCAGCATTCGTTCTACGTCGCGGTCAGATCAAAGGGCAGCTTACACGATTTCAAACATTTCTGGATGACCCAAAGTCCAATTTTACCACGCAATTAAGATTACGGGCTGAAAAGATACGTGAAGCATGGAGCGAATTTGATGCCATACAAAATAATATAGAGATATTAGACGTTAGTAATGAACAGGTACAATATAGGTCCACATTCGAAGACTTATACTATGATTTAATGTCAAAAGTCGACGATAGATTAGAGGGAAATAACGCACTCGCGCAAAGTCGACAATTAATACAGGCTGATCAAAGTGAAAAAACAAGTCACAAATTTTCATTTGTAAAACTTCAGCCACTCGAAATTCCTACATTCACGGGAAAATTTGATGATTGGGTAACGTTTCATGACATATACTGTGCAATGATACATACAAATAATTGTTTATCAGATATCCAAAAATTTTATTATTTAAGAAATGCGTTAGAAGGCGAAGCAACTTCATTAATACAAAATTTGGAAACTTCCTCATCGAACTATGAAATAGCGTGGAAAATAATTACCACAAGATACAATAATACACGTATGTTAATACAAACGCATACAAAACGTATTTTTGATCTAGAGCCAATCAATAAAGAATCGGCAATCAAATTAAAACAATTAACTGATTCGCTAAACGGACATATGCAAGCATTAAAATCGCTAAACCATGACCCATACAATTGGGGTGCGTTGTTATTACATGTAATTTACACGAAACTTGATACGAACACTATCAAGCAATGGGAAATGGAAACGTCCAGAGAAGAACTACCTAGTGTACAAATGTTAATGGAGTTCTTAGGTAAAAGGAATCAGATGTTAGAGTCAGTCGAAAATGCTAGATTACTAACAGTCAAGCAAAACGAATCTAATTATTCACTATCAAAAATCTCAAAATTTGGAACATCAAAGAAGGGTGCGTCAACATTTTTATCTACATACAAAATGAAATGTTACATGTGTCAACAACCACACCCAATCTACAAATGTACCATATTTCTGGCACTTGACATAGCGTCCAGAATAAAGAAGGTCGATGAATTAAAATTATGCAAAAATTGTTTAAAAAAAACAGATCATCATGTAAATTTATGTCCATCGAAAAAATGTACAAAATGTCAACAGTTGCATAATTCACTTTTACATAAGGAAACAAGTTCAGTTGACGAAAATGTCAATATATTATCAAACAATGCATTAGTATCTGCGCATACAGCAAAAGTCAACATTGATAACGAAGTGTTGTTAGCTACGGCAATAATTAAAATATCGAGTCCCGCTGGCAGGCATTCGCATGGGCGAGTGTTGTTAGACAGCGGATCACAGAGCAATTTTATAACAAACAATTTGGTAAACAAACTCGGACTTCAGCGGGAAAAAGTAAACATTCCAATATGCGGTATCAGTGAAACGAATAATACAATAAAATATAAGGTAACAGCTGTAATCAACTCATTAAATAACTCGTACTCTACGATAATTGACCTATTAGTGTTATCGAAGATAACGGGCCCATTACCACGAACGTCTATACGCAGTGTGAACGTTCCGAGTGATATATATATGGCAGACCCGTCGTTTAATTATCCAGGTAATATTGATATACTTATCGGCGGAGACACTTATTGGGACATAATGTGCGCTGATAAAGTAAAAATCAATGATGGACCATATTTACAAAAAACATTGTTCGGATGGGTAGCAGTAGGTAAAACAACGAAGAATTTAAGTATGACAAGACCAAACACATGCTTGTTAGCAACTCGGAATCAATATAAAATATTAGAAGGTAAAATCGAAGCGTTCTGGAAAATGGAAGAGGTGTCGTTAAAACGTAATTTCACTGACGAAGAAAATACATGCTCCAAACATTTTATTGAGAACGTCACGAGAAATAAAGACGGTAGATTTGTGGTGAGGTTACCATTCAAGGACAATTATCGGCAGTTAGGTAACTCATATGCATCAGCATTACGAAGATTCTTATCATTAGAAAAACGATTACGCAATAATACCGAGCTATATACGAAATATAAAATGTTTATGCTAGAATATGAAAACCTTAAACACATGGAGTGCGTATGCGACGCAGGCGGTGATAAACAGGTAATCGATGACAATAATTGCTTTTATCTACCACACTCGTATGTGATAAATGACCGCAGTAGAACAACAAAGCTTCGTGTTGTTTTCGACGGGTCAGCAAAAACAAGTACCGGCATATCATTAAATGATACATTAATGAATGGTCCGAAAATACAGCCTGATTTGTTAGAAATCGTCATTCGGTTTAGAACACATAGATATGCGTTCTCGGTCGATATAACAAAAATGTATCGACAGGTATTAATACACAAAGAAGATCGCGATTATCAACGCATATTGTGGAGATCTGATCAAAATGATGAAATAAAAATTTATAAGTTGTGTACTGTAACATACGGTTTAGCACCTGCAGGATTTTTGGCAGTAAGTTGTGTTAACCGCGTTGCTGAGGACGCCGTCAACGTAAAATTAAAAGAAATTATAAAAAACGATTTCTGTGTAGACGATTGTCTTACCGTGTGAGAGTTAGTGACTTTTTAAGGCCACCAAAACCACCCATGACGAAAGGGGAACACTTTCCTCATGACCTGTGAGCCGCACCGCGTGAGACCCGAGGGTCAAGTCGGTGGAGCTCACAGGCTTTGATACACGCAACGGCAAGCTGAATGCCGAGGATTTATGTGGGGAGAGAGAGAGAAAAAAAATAAATAAGTTAATGAAAATAAATAATAAGAGGGTAATCACGTGGATGTATTTTACAGGTTTTTTGATTGTAGATAATTTAAATAAGGTTTTGACATTTTTCAGTTTAACAAAAATAAAATATATAGCATGGCACATGGCAAGTAGGTATAAAATATAAAAGGGCACATGGGAAACAAAAAAAACAACGCTCGGCCCACGGGGATCGACACATCACATTACTCGTGGTGGTCTCCACAGGGTTACCGGGGCAGTTTAAATGATTTGGGGGGGGAAATGAAAGGTCGAACGTCTGTAAGTGTGGTCCGGGGCCCCCTACTTAAACGCGCACAGGGACAGCTGGTTTTTTACGCCAGCTGTATGTGAACGCGTAGGAGGTTACCTGCTAGGCCCCAATGGCAACCACACCTGGACGTTCTGCAACGCACATTTCACAAGTATCGTGCTTTTAAGTGACAAAAAATAAAAAAAGAAGGGGGGAAAATTTTGTAGGTATTACTCTGACGACGTTGAGCTTGAGATGTGTTGTTGACCGAGGAACTGGATGGGCTGGTTAATACCACCGGCACACACGCGGCCGGCATGGCCCATCTTGTCGTCGATCAAACCGCCTCGGATGGTGACGGCGACACCTTGGTTGACAGGTTCAGCAGCCTTGCCCACCATCAGGCCCGTGAGCGGTACTTAGCCCATCATGGCGGTTGGTTCCCGTCGATTAAAAACAATAATAATAATCACACGCGGAGTGATGGTGGTCGACACGCGGTTGTGGTCGTTGTTGAAAAGTTCGGGATGCGTCACGGTACCAAAACGTCTGATTCGTTCAGCGATCTCGGAAAATGTGAAAGACGGCCGATGTTGTCTTGTCGCTGGTCGTGGCCGTTGATGTTGACGTGGTGGGGAAGGTCAGTGTCGCATTATAGGGACGTTTACAATAATAATTGGGAAAACAGACTGCTTTGTCGGTGCGTATCGACGGACGCGACAGTTGCGACCGGCGGTGACGACCGCCAACGGCAGCGGCCTGTTGGCGGGCGGACACTGCGGGTTGTGGGGGCCGGGGTCAGGTGTTATGTAACATTGTGGTCATTTATGCATTGGCGCGCGATAAATATAATAATATCATAATGTAATCATAAGTAATAATAATAATGAAAAATAACATGCTCAGGGGAACTATAATAATATTAAGTAAGGCCTAAAATTCTGTGACGTTACAACCGGAGCCGATACGTTAACGGAAGCAATACAATTACGTAATGAACTGATTTCAATTATGCGTAAGGCAGGATTTGAATTATCTAAATGGACAGCAAATCATAAAAACCTAATCCCGGACACAAATGAAAACGAAGCATCGTCAGTATCAATGGATAAGGAAAGTGTGAAGACCTTGGGTTTGTATTGGGAACCAAACAGTGATTATTACACTTACGTTGTTCAACCACCGAAAATAAACATTGAGGTAACCAAAAGAGATATTATTGCTGGACTAGCAACATTATTCGACCCATTAGGTCTAGTTGTCCAGTAATATTAGTGGGCAAAATATTATTACAAGACTTATGGCGTGAGAAAATTGAATGGGATAGTCAAATTCCACCACACATGAAATCGGTGTGGAACGGGTATATCGATTGTTTAAATGAATTAAATACTTTTAATATACCACGTTGGCTTGGATCCGATAATGATAAACAAATTGAAATACACGGGTTCGCAGATGCGTCCATGAAGGCGTATGGCGCCTGTATATACATGCGTACGTCAGATAAGGACGGTAATATTACATGTCAATTAGTGTGTGCCAAATCTCGTATTACGCCAATAAAGGTAATTTCTATTCCTAGATTAGAGCTATGCGCGGCGCTACTTTTATCACGTCTAATGTCCACAGTTATACCAGCACTTAATATAAGTGTGTCAAAAAGATATTTTTGGACAGATTCCACTGTCACCTTAGCTTGGTTAGCTGCAGACTCAGGTAGGTGGAAAACATTCATTGCGAATCGTGTCAGTGAAATCCAAACATTAACTAATAGTTTGGAGTGGGGACATGTAAAATCGAACGACAATCCAGCTGATGTATTGTCACGAGGGTGTACGCCGAACGAATTAAAAAACAATACGCTTTGGTGGCATGGTCCGGTATGGTTAAAAAATAATGAATTTAAACATTCAACAGCATATCGATGGTGAAACGGCAAAAGGGTCTAAGCGACATAATTCATTATTTTTAGGAGAGCCGAAAAACTTTTTTTTGTGATTTTAATCATTTTTTTTTTCTAAATAAGCTATAACTTTTTTACAGTAAGAATAGGGTATTATTTTGTAGAATATTTTTTTTTTTTGTTTATATCTCCTTCATGTGTATTCATATTTTTAATAAGTTTTTGATTATTATTTACGTGCATACGGCAATTTGAAAAAAATTGTTCAATATTTTGGCACTTATGCCCTATTTTTTTTTTTTACACTATTTATCTACGGCGCTTATGCCCTAATTTTTTTCTACATTTGCCTGTGCATTTATCGAGATTGTATTATTGTAATTATTTATAGTGATTACTATTTTTATTTCAGACCAATAAAATAATATTAAAATATCACGTCATTTTCACATGGTTTTTTTTTTTAAATAAGGTGTACACAAATATTTTCCGCAAAAAAAAATATGAATCTTTATTAAAATATTATTATGATGAAAATAACGAAAAAAAAATTGTAATTCTTTAGAACATAACATAAAATTTAACCTTTTCTTCAAACTTAATTGAAAACAAATAATAAAAAATAACTTATTTCTAGACTTGACTTTGTACTTAAATCTATAAATCAATGGTTAAAATAAAAAATTACTTACATTTTTAATCATTAAAATAAACAATCACTATTCCTTTGTTAACACTTAGGTAAAAATTGAATAAATGAAATAAATGATCTAGTCTGAGTCGTACAAATTCATGTACAATGACACCACGCATAAACGTCGCTTGTCCCCTAAAATATTGTGCTAATGTCGTTTATTCCCTATTGTTGTCGTTTAGACCCTTTATTACAGAAGACAAATATATAAAGTGTCGTTTAGACCCCAAATTTAAAATTCAAATATTCGTTGTTATAATGGTCACAGCTGATTTTGCGCACGCGCAATGGACGTAATATATATTTTTCTATCCAATAGTATAAGCCGTGTCGCTTAGACCCAAAGTGTCGCTTAGACCCTTTTGCCGTGTCACCATCGATATATAGAAAGTTCCGCACATATAAATGATATCAAAAATGAAGAAAAGATTACGCCTATTATAGTGTGTACTACAAAGGTGGGCGCGTCGTTTGACATTGATAAGTACTCGACGCTGAACAAATTATCGCACGTCGTTGCGTATTTATTACGATACAAAAACAACTCATTATCAAAACGTAATAATATTCCGCGAATTACCGGCCCGCTTAATACAGACGAGATATTAACTGCAATAAAATCAATAATTAAACTATTACAGGGCACATATTTTTCCTCGGAAATTAAAGATTTAAAAAGCAAAAACTATGTGTCATTGAGTAGTAATATATATAAATTAAACCCGTTCATAGACGATGATGGAATCGTGTGCGCGTGGGCGGTAGACTAACCAACGCGACACTTATTGATACAGATCAACGATTTCCAATTATTATACCTAAAGAGACAAACTTTTCGAAATTAATTATGTTACGCGAACACGAAAGGTTAATGCACGCTGGTCCTCATGCTATACTTGCAACGGTGCGATTAAAATATTGGCCACTCAATGGGCGGAGATGTGCGCGAAAAGTCGTATATCAATGCGTAAAATGTTTTAGGGCACGACCGAAAAATGTGTCACCTTTAATGGGTAATTTACCCAAATTTCGAGTCGATCGGGCGAGTAGATGTTTCGAGAATTGTGGAGTAGATTACGCAGGACCGTTTCTATTGAAATGCAGTAATCGACGAAATGCCGCAGCTCAAAAGGCATATATATGCGTGTTCGTATGTTTCGCGACGAAGGCTTTACATTTAGAACTAGTGTGTGATTTAAGCACAGATGCATTTATCGCTGCTTTAAAAAGATTCATATCCCGCCGAGGTTTATGTAAAAATATATATTCCGATAACGCCACTTGCTTCGTAGGTGCGAACAATAAATTTAACGAATTAAAACAATTAATGTCGGTGGACGACCACAAAATACGGATTAATCAATTTATGACCAATAATGAAATGACATGGCATTTCATTCCTCCACGGGCCCCTCATTTCGGCGGACTGTGGGAGGCGGCGGTTCACAGCATTAAAAAACATTTAAATCGCAGTATAGGATCCGTAAAAATGACCTACGATGAGTTTTATACGCTAATAGTACAGATTGAAGCGTGTCTAAATTCACGACCACTTACCCCGTTATCTACTGATCCTTTTGATTTATCCGTCCTTACTCCTGGCCATTTTTTAATAGGAGACTCACTCTCAGCGTTGCCGGAACCAGAAATAAATAACTTAACCAATAATTTGTTGTCACGGTGGCAAAAGGTACAACACATTACGCATCAAATTTGGAGACGTTGGAGCTTAGAGTATCTAAGTCAACTCCAAGAACGTTCCAAATGGAATAAGCCAGATAATTCCGTTTTAAAAATTGGTTCCATGGTTTTGATAAAAGACCAAAATTTGCCCCCGTTACAATGGCACCTGGGACGTGTTAGCGAAGTATTTCCGGGCAGTGACGGCGTCGTACGAGTCGCAACGGTCAATACTCCAAGTGGGCCGAGGAAGAGAGCGGTGAGGCTATTATGCCTATTGCCAATACAAGATAACGATGAATCAAGTCAAAAAAAAAATAAAATGTTGTAACAAAAAAAAAAAAAAAAAAATAATGTATTATTAGGGTATTTTTCAATTAATTATTGTAATTTGTATTTATATTATGTTGAATTAACGAATTATTTATTATGTATATTTATATTATTTTCTACAACATTTTTGATTGTGGGCTAATTTTACTAGTCATTAATTTCATGTTTTGTTTAGCTTGCGTTTTATTCTAATTGGCGACCATGTCCATGATTATTTTTATATTATGTTGAAGACTATACTTCAAGGTGGCCCCCATGTTCAATGTACGAAATCTAATGTGTATCCATATCGCTTGTCGCTATCGCCCCGGGTCGGGTATAATATAACAGGCACGGGTCGTCAGTTAGTTATCCAACGTTGCGTCGGTGACAATACCTTCGAACTGCGAGTCACCTCATTAGTGACAAAAGTAACTCGATATTCATGTGTTAATTTTTTATTATTATCAATATTATATTAAATTATTATTATCAATAAATTATACAGTCCACTAGTTTATTTTTGTATTACTTATTCAAATTGAAACTGAGCCGAGACAAATATCCTAAACCGACAAACCGTCTCCGCTCAAAATATTGTTACTAAACTCTTGAACTATATTATTACGGCCATTACAATTATTTATTTTAAATTTTATTAATTTTAGGAATTTCTGAAAATGAAAATTGTTGCCACTAAGTCCTAATTATAATGTATTAACTCCTCAAAAATGTTATGAGCACTATGCAACGTCTGATGTAAAGGAATTAATATTTTCAAGTCCTATTATGACCACACCCAAAAGACGAATACAAGATATAATAGATATGCCCAGTCCTAATTTAAAAATAAATTCTAGTGATGACGATACAACTAAGAAAAAAAATTAAAAGCACAATTGCAAAGTCAATCTAACAAAATGAAAAATAAAAGATCGCGTATAAGTAAATTAAAAAAAAGTTTACAAATGTTTAAGGTCCGTTATGATGTTAGTAAGGTTATTGATACGTTTCCTTTCGCTTCAATTAACTCAAAAGCACTGGGAACAATGCAAATAAGGAAAAACCGCCGACCATGGTCACCTCAGGAAAAACAATTATCTTTATCCTTATTTTACAAATCTCCAGCTGCGTATAATTTTTTGAAATTGCAAAACGTCAACTTACCAGGCACGTCAACCATTCGCAGATGGATTGGTGAATCTAAATTTTTACCTGGTTTCAGTAGCGTATTTTTAAATCATCTAAAAAAAAAAATTTGAGTATAAGACCGATAAAGAAAAAAAAATGTACATTTGCTTTGATGAAATTTCTATAAAAGAGTGCCTAGAGTTTTCCAAACATTACGATTTTATTGAAGGGTTTGAAGATTTTGGACATATTGGCAGATCAAGTAATGTAGCAAATACATCATTAGTGTCCATGGCTAGGGGTATATTTTCACCTTGGAAAATACCAATAGCATACTATTTAGTTCGTTCAGCTGTCAAACATGGCATGCTTAAGGACTTAATTGTATATGTACTTCGGACATTATTAGAAGCTGGTTTACATCCTAAAATTAAAGTTTGTGACCAAGGCACTAATAATCAAAGTGCACTTAAGGCATTAAACGTTACCGAGCATAATCCATATTTTTTTATAAACGTTAAAAAAATGTATGCTATATTTGATGTTTGGCATCTTTTAAAAAGTATAAGGAATAATTTAATTGGGTCCATATTTAAAAAAGGAAAAAAAAACAGTTGTTACTCAGATATTAAGGAAACATACTACATACTACATTGACAAAAATAACAAAAAAAGCAGAGCATTATTAAAAATAACCGATACGCACATAAATCCAATCCTACGTCAAGAGTTAAGAACATCGTTTAGAAGCACAGCGATTTATTCGTTAGTTTGTACTTCAAAGGGTACAAATTGTGAACAGAATTTAGACACAGAAGCAGATTATACAATACACATAAATAACCAACAATCTAGCATTACATCTTCAGATAACAACATAGACTTAAGTGACACAGAATCTTTATCGTCGTCGTCATCTAATGATTCACATAATAATTTAAATAAAGATAAAGAAAATGTAGAAGTAACACTGGAGGACGACACTGTTGTTTATTTTGCTGGGTATTCAGCACATATTTGCTTAAACAATTTTAATTGTAATAGTTGTAAATTACAGTTAATAACTGACTACGATATTAATAATAAAGATCAATTATTTATAATTAATAAAAATTTTAAAAATATTTAAACAAATGGTCTTAAATCTCCATCAAAAAAACTTGTGGAACTTGTTATTTGTGCGATTGATATATTTGAAGATAAATTTGGCAAAGTTCAACATAAAAAAGGTGGGCAAGTGGGTGTCGCTCTGCTGTACAGTAGGTTACAAGTGGGTCATTGTATAATGGATGGTATTAAATTTGAATTCAATGATATAATATCATTGTTTAAGAAAAACGATTCTGAGCGGAGACGGTATGTCCTTCTAGGTAAAAGACATATTATATACATATCTATGGTATTAAAATAAATTGACCTATAATGAATTCCAAATTAATCATATCACAATATCCATTAGGTATTTATAACGCGTTATACACCAACAACAAACCCTGATACTATCATAGATATATAGTAGATTACTTTAGAAATTTCAAGTACCCACGAATAATATTATACAATCACAACAAAATAACTAAAATCGTAATTCTTGGTTTAAATATGAAATTTTGTCTAAACTTGAAATTAAAATGTCTGTAAAAAATAAGTGTGTTTATATATTTTTTAGATTTTTTGGTTACAGTATGAATTATTTAAGAGAATCTTTGTTTTAAATTTTCAACTCTTAGTTATAAAAACTGAACATTTTATAATTTTTTAGTTTCAACGATTGATTATTTTCAAGATTTTGATAAATTTTGTCAAAATTCCAACTTTAAATGCTTATAAAAAAAAATCGTGCCTATGTATTTTTAAAATTTTTCAACTGATATTGTAACAATATATAAGAAAGCTTGTATTCAATTTTCAGACTTTTTGGAACACCAAATAAAATTTTATTGACAATTATAAAAAAAAAAAACTAAAAAAATTGAAAACTGAAAATGTCCGTAAACAGCTCAAAAAGAATCAAAATATTTTCAAAATTGTATGGTGTATAGGAAATGCTAATATAAACATTCAGTGAAATTTTCATATATCTATAGTTATTCGTTTATGAATTACAACAAAATAAGGAAATCGCTACATGAGAAATCGAGTGAACATCCAATGTTGTAATAATTTGAATTTCAAACGCTCATAAAAATTTAATTTGACTGTCCGGTAGAGATTTTTTTATTGATAAAGGTAGACAAACTTATGAGTAATCTTGTATTACATTTTCAAATCTTAGATTTAAAAAGAAAAATTTTTGCGAATTCTTAACTCAAAATAATTTGCTAATTTTCGTGATTTTTCCATATTTTGTCAATTTTTGAACTTTAAATGCTTATAAAAAAAAAACTGTGACTAACGATTTTTAATATTTTTCATCTGCCTTTGAAACAATATACTAGGAGTCTTCTATTAAATTTTCCAGTTTTTTTAACCAACAAATAAAATTTTATTGATATTTCTAGAAAAATAACTAAAATAAAATGAAAAATGAAAATGTCGCTAAACAGTTCAAAATAAATCAAAATATTTTGAAAATGTTATCGTGTATAGAAAATGCAAATATAAACAACCAGTGAAAATTTCATGTATCTACGGTCATTTGTTTTAAAGTTACAAAAAAAACCAAATTCGATTTTTTGGAAAATCGATTTTGCGGAAAAATTCTTGTTTTTCCTTAATTTTTATGTTGTTTTTCCCGGCGCTTGTGAAAACTACTGGAAAATGTTTACTTTTGACCCCCCAAAGTACCAACTAGATTCACTTTCCTATCAGAAAAGGTACTATTGAAGAAAATCGAAGCACTTTTACTGTCCCAAAACGTGATGACAGACACAAAAAAAAATATAAAAATATAAAAATATAAAAATATAAAAAAAAACACACATCATTGTAAAACCAATACATTCATCGCTCCGCTCAGAGTCTAAAATATAAAAATATAAAAATATAAAAACACACATCATTGTAAAACCAATACATTCATCGCTCCGCTCAGAGTCTAATATAAAAATATAAAAAAAAACACACATCATTGTAAAACCAATACATTCATCGCTCCGCTCAGAATCTAAAAAATATTTATGACATGGTTTAAACGTCGTAACTTAATAAAACATTGGTTCTTTAACGAGCTGGGTGGCTTGGTACTTACTATTGTAGTAATAATAGTAGATAAGTGGCTACCAGTACGTTAATGTGCAGGTCGCAGACACTTCTTCAGATGTTGTAGTCGTGGTTGATAAATAAATAAGAGAACAGTTTTTGTATAATATAATATTGTGAGTTTTATTATTGCACTTCGATAATTTTACTAAGTCCAAAATAATGCTGTACAGAGTGGCGTGAAGGTGCTTGCACTAATGGGTGGTAGTACACGTCTGAAAGCAGGCCTATTCGGGCTCCCTTATATATGAAGTTGCCCGTGCCCCTCGCCTACAGATATGGTATCTTCGTTCCCACGGATGTCATTTGTGTGGTCATCATTCTAGCCCACGCATTTACGATTGAATGTATTACTAATTTATGATTAGTCATTTTACTCTTCAATATTTTAATTTCATCGTATGCGTCCAGTGTTCCTGTCAAATATGACAACCGCCTATTTTGACCCTATTGTACTTAATATCTGGTTATTCCGACCTATTATATATTGTAGTGGCTATACACTCGTAATTTATGATTTATTGTCACGTAGTAATTTGGCTTACTACAGCTCCATGAAAATGAAGAATGCGCAGACCACAAACTCTTCATTCTAGACAAATTATTGACTTGTAAAATATTTAAGAAATGCAAATATCATTCAATAACAAGACAGTCGAAATTAACTAAGTTAAAAATGTTATCTCATGTATAGTATTATTAATGAAATAAATTATTTAATATATAATAAATAACAATTTATAATAAACCAATAATAAATCAATGGTACATATTTAGGTCCTTACAGCCTGTCAGTAATGCATGCATTAGTTCTGAAAAAACAGCTGGTGCTGTTTTTAAACCGAAAGGCATTTTCAGCCATTCCCAATGACCCGTAAAGGTCGAAAATGCTGTTTTATGTGTGTCCCCAGGATGTATCGCAATTTGGTGATAACTATTGGCAAATTCTAACTTGGAAAAGTACTTTGCATGGCCTAATTTATCTAGAATATCAGTAATTAAAGGAAGTGGCCAAGAGTTGCCCTCCGTAATTAAATTTATCTTCCTGAAATCTACGCATAATAGATATTTCTTTTAGCCGTCAATCCCTACTTTTTTTGGAAATAAAATCAACGGATGATTTCACTGTGAATTGCTTTTTACTATTACTTTTTGTTGTTCTAAAACAGCGACCTGCCTATTTATCTCTTTTTTTTGTTGTTCGGCTAATCTATATTGACGAGTATTAATAGGTGGGTGGTAATAAGTGGTGTCTTATTTCTGTGTGTAACGAGATCCGTACCAATAATCTTATCTCCTTCTACAAAAAATACGTCCGAAAATTCATAACATAAATCCGATAAAGCCTTAAGTTCTTCTTCGTTAAGGTGATCAGTTACTAACTGCTCTGTGATTATTTTAATTCTGTCCGAGAAATTAATTAATTCTGACCTACTATTACTATCAGTTTCAAAGTACATGATTGCTTTATCATTACTATTTTCGCCTATTAAAGCGGGCTCAATAACCTCAGTATCTGTATATTATAATTCCCAATTAATTTCATTCATTTTCAACTCCTGAAAATTAACATAACTTTCTGAAATATTCATCACATTTGCCATGATTGAATTGTTTTCACATATCGACATTGTATTTCCTAACCATACTGATTTAGATAAATTTTACTTATTAATTACAACCGAATCGCCATTATTGATGTCTTTGTTTGTAACCGAAATAGTTAGAATATTACTCGACCTCGGTGGTAAGCTTATCAAATTTTCTTTTGTTGCCTATCAATTATCATTTCGCCTTTCCTTAAATTAAGCGTTACATCATTATTGCTAAAAAACGGTATACTAAGAATTCCGGTCATTGAACCTGGAAACTTATCATTGACTACGTGAAAAATTGTATCGTAATAATTATTTTTATCAATAGTTAAATTGATTTTAATAATGAATAAAGTTTTTATCGAATTCTCATTAATACCTATTAATGTGGTTGTAGTTTCTACCGGTACGTTATCCTTTATCAACGATAATTTAATGATGTTCAGATCTGCGCCCGTATCAATTAAAAATAAATTTTCTTTGCCCATTAAGGCATTTGATTCGATTTTAATTTGATTACTATTTATCGAAATTACTTCTTTATTTGCTCCGTGTTTTAACATAAATAATTACCTATTTTTAATATCGCCTATCGTTTTTATTGCCGCTGTGGACGATGACCCTTCACTATTTTTTGCTTATTGTTCGTTATTGTATTTAAGTTTACGGCAATCCTTAACTATGTGACCCGGTTTTTTACAATAATTACATGAAATTGCCGAATATGAAGTACTACTACTACCGTATTCTTTTTTTACTATGGTTTCATTTTTAGTACCACAGTTAGTATTACTCCTAGGTTTTTTACATTCTCTACTTAAATGACCGTAGCCTTCGCAATTAAAACACTTAGGTTTTGAAAAAGTAAATGTATTAGATTTGTCAAATTTTGGCTTTAAATTTTCTAACGCCTGTTCCTCTTCTAATGCTGCCTTAATCATCTCTTCAAGACTACCTAATTTCATCGCCCTCAATACTGTTCTAATCTGAAAATATGTTTTGCGCTTGTGTTGTCAATACCTTAGAAATAGTTTTACTTTCCGTAATAGTTTTATCTTTCGTCATTTCGTTAATTAATCTATAAAGAGCTAATTCTACTCTACCTGCATAGTCCTGTACTTTTTCAAATTTAGCCTGCGTAATCGAATTAAGTTGTTTTGATAAATACGTCTCCCAAAAGTTGTTCCCAAAATTAGCTTTAAGAATTGTAATCAAATCTTTATAATTTTCTATTGTTTTATGCTGAGTAATGCATAACGCTTTTCCGGATAAATTGCATAGCAGCGCTTCTAACACGTTACTAACAATTGCCTCCTCAATATGTTTAAATACAAACTCGCATTTTTTCTCGAATAAATTTAAATCCTGGGATGGTAAACCCGCGAATTCTGACAACATCCTAATTGCGCTATCAAAACTTAATTTACTCATTTTAATAAGTTCTATTTGTTCCGTTAAAACTCCTAAGTGTGCTAGGTAATTATTTCTTTGTTCACCTTCTGCGACCCTACCAGCTAAATTGAAAAACCACTCTAATACTGTATCTATTTCTGACATAAATAAAATATTATATTACCTTAAAAATTGCATGTTAACTTCTTTGAACTCAATTTAGTTGATGATTGAATTGGGGTAGATGTTGATTGCAGTTGAATTTTATTGTTGATTGCAGTTAAAAACGTTTTAGCAAAGTCGACGAATGTCAGTAAATACATAATTATACATATTATGTATATACTAATAATGAGGATTATTACACATCACATGACGGCTGTAAAATCGTGTTTTTCTTACCTAAAACATGGTTTCGTACTTCCCATTTTCCTCAGCTCTCGTTAGTCGTAGAAACATTGTTTTTCACCAAAATAAACCTGAGAAGTTTATCTAGGTTTCGTCGTTCCAGATTTTTGATATCTTTTTTTGTCTGTTTTATATGATTTTTTAAAAATTTTGAAAGTTTTGAAAATTTATAATAATTTATAAAAAATTAATATAATCGGTTTGAAAAAAAAATTATTAGATAAACTAGATAACCTAGATAAACCTCTCACGTTTATTTTGGTGAAAAAATCAAGTTTCTACGACTAACGAGAGCTGAGGAAAATGGGAAGTACGAAACCATGTTTTTACGGCTGAATTTTCGTACCAGAACGGCCTGTTAAGGATACTAATTTAGCACGAAGTAAATCGGTAAAGAGTGTACTCTTATTTTTGGCGGGAGTTTGTGTAATTTGTTTTAAAATTGTAAATGCTTCCTCCATCTTGTTCTCAATCACTTCCACTTTATCATTTGATTTTCTTTTTTTACTTAATTTACTGGATGACGGAGATGGGCTCTTAAAATTGCATTCCGGAGTCTGAGGATCATCGATTTCAGTTGTGTCGTGCAATTGACAATTTTCAGTCATGTTGTCGTGGGCTATAATATACAATCTGTACCAATAGAGGCACAATAAGAATATGGGCTATATTATTTACAAATACATGAAACGGTTGATAGAAGAAGCTACTGCAGCCTACGAAGTGTATTATCCAAATAATATAATATAATTAAACAAAATATAATTAATTAAACTTTCCTCTGTTGAAATTGTTTTTTTTTGCAACGTAAATCCCATGCAGAAATGACATTGCATTGTAGGCAAACCAGTCGGGCTGAATAACGTCTTTGGCACCACTCCAAGTACCCTCGCTTGCTTTAACTTTGTTTAACAGTTTTCTATAAGTAGCCATAAGAGAATCTTTTTTTTATTATTTCTGTAATATCAGTTTTGACACTAAAATTACAAAAATACAAAAATCAATATTTAAATATATTATAAAAAAATCAAAAATTAATCTAACCTTAATTTGTTTTCTATTTCTTTCCACGCTTCGTGAACTATGTTCCTATTTTTATGACCTGGATGGCGTGGGTTCCAAATTTGTGGATATCCTTCATATAGTTCCAAAAACTATTACCTCATAATTTGACCATTCCATGATAATAAATATTAATAATGATTTTAATAATGATTAAAAAATAAAAAACACCAAATTGCAAAATAAAACACCAAAAAACGTATAGGTACTATCAATGGCTCGCCGAACCGTACGCCTGTGGGAACCCGCCTTTATACTACTCACTACGACACTACTCCTACTGCACTTGCCACTTGCGTTACTGCAGACTAGTGACTAATGACTACAGAACAATACAATACCGCAATTACGAATTAAATAGCCAACTGTTTAATTTAGTTTACAATCTAGCTTTCAATATTTTAAACTAGATATGGATGATGCCGATGATGGATTCATACATGACAATTTGGAAACTAAAAAAGGGATTACGTGGGTACCTATATTTAATTGCTCAAAATTAATTTAGATATAAGCCATAATCCCTAACAGCACATCATGTTTCAAATACATAACTTTATGTATCAGATATATTTAAATTACTAAATTACATTACAGAAATGTAATTGAAATATGTTGTACTGTTAGGGAAGCAATATTGTTCAACTATAATATTGTACATTCTTATATCTTATTTATAAAATGCTTGGACTCGGGACTGTATTACTATTTACTAATGGTATATTTTTTATTGTTCTAATAGAACAGCGGTTCCCAACCTTTTTTTCCTTCTGTACCCCTAAGCTTAATATTTTTCTAGATTGTACCCCTCTATATACTTTTAAAAATTTTCACATAACCACTCTTAAAACATTTAATTAAAAATAACAATAATATAATATAATGTAATAATTGTATATATTTTTATATTGAGTAATAAGACACATAAAAAAATTACTTATTTTACTTATTTAATAAACAAAAAAATGAAATGAAAAAATTAGTGAGATCCTTGACCTTGTTTCAAATTACATAATTTTTTAATATCAGGTTCAAATGATGCGAGGTATAATCTTAAATCTGGAGCTGCGTTTAGTTTATTTCTATACTTATTTTTAATAAAGATATATGAAGAAAACGCTCTTTCGACCAACTCCTTACTAATAAATGGCAATAGGAACTCAATTGCCTTGTCAGAGAGTCGCTCATATTCGTTTCTAATATCTAAACAAAAATTATTAATAAGTGGTTTTCTTTTAAACTCAATTTTTAAAGTTGTGTCACATACTCACATGAAAGTTCTATCAATTTTTCTTTTTCTACAATCGATAAAGATGTAGCTTTTTGAAAGAATTCTTCATTAAAAGGATTTGAAATCCAATTGTATTCTTCATCAGGTTTGGAAAAGTATTTTTTGAATGATAATTTCAACCCTTCCAGATGTTCAATTATGTTTTTCTTAATTTCCCGAGACATAACTAGCTTATTTTCAGATAGAAAATTGTGTAACGTTTCAAATACCTCGGGTTGGTTATTTTCAATACATACCCTCCAAAAATCTATTTTTTTAACCATTGATTTAATTTTATCCGAAACACTGAAAATCGTTACTGAATTTTTTTGAAGTGCCAAATTTAAATTGTTTATTTGTAAAAAAAATATCTGATAAATACGCAAGCGCCTGAAGCCAATTGCAGTCGTGTAATTTTGGAGATATTTGAAAAGAATGATCTTCAAAAAATATTTGGACCTCATGTCTTAATTCGAATAAACGTGCAAGTATCTTGCCACGGGATAGCCACCTTACTTCTGTGTGAAAAAGTAAACTTGAATGAGGACTTCGCATAAAGCTTTAAATATTCTCGAATTTGTAGACCTTGATTTTATAAGATTAACTAATTTAACTGCTTCATCAAGAACGACTTTTAGTTCCCCTGGAAGGTTTTTAGATGCTAAACTCTGTCGATGAATACAACAATGACTCCAGTTTATATTAGGAACTATTTTCATAACGCGACCTCGAAGACCAGAATATATACCCGACATTGACTTTCCACCATCGGTACATAATCCACAACAATTGGACCAATTAATACTCATTTTTTTGAAATAACAATCAATAGCATTGAATATATCTTCACCAGTTGTGCGTTCAGACAATAAATGACAAAGCAAAACATTTTCTTCGACTTCATTATTATTTAAGTACCTTGCAATAACAAGTAAAACTGCGAAATTGGTAACATCGGTGCTTTCATAAACTTGAATATCGAAAATTTTACTGTTTTTTATTCTATATATTACTGTCAACTCAATATCTTCAGACATATCCTGAATTCGACGAGAAATTGTATTATTTGAAAGAGCAATACTGTTTATCTTTTTTACGTTCTCTTCTCCAAACATACACTGAACAGTATCTTTTATACAAGGAGAAATCAAATTTTCAGCTATTGTATGATTCTTACCACATTTTGCAATACGATAACTAATACGATAACTAGCTTCAATCGCGTTTTGGTTATCTTTATTAGCTGATGTATGATGTTAAAATCGAAGTATTCTCATTATTTATAGCTAAACGTTTAAAAAAATCACATTCTTCTGTAACGTATGTTACATCATTACGTTTACTTTATAAGCATCATAATATGCACATTAGGCATATTATGCGCTGACTGTAATAATATATTAAGCCCCTCCGGTTTAGGTGACACATATATATTTTATGATTGTAAGGCTCCGGCCAATATCCCTATGTAAGAGAATACGAGTTCTCCGCGAGTCCATCACGTGCACCTGAACTCCGTACAATCCTACATTTTTGGTAACTTTGTTCGTAAATTGTAAGTTATAATAAATAATTTGTTTATATTAATAATAATTTAGATTAATCGTTATTTATTTGTAATATTAAGATCCTAATACCATTCGTGCTCCCGAGCTACGGTAAAAATATATTCAAAAGAATTAATTTCTTCCCTGAATATCTTATATTTAACGGGCCATCCCCGACCACGTTACATATTGGTGGAGGCGCCGAAGCTCTTAAGTAGTTGAAGTTACAGATATTTACGATTGATTTAGATTTTTATTTTGTTATTAGTTAGTAAGTTTGGTTAATTGAAGCGTAGGAAAATAATAAAATTAAAGTGTAGCCGTGTTAAAAATAATTGAGATTTTTTTTTTTATTTAAGATTAATGATATACATGATATATATTAAGTATTAAGAATAAGAGTAAAAGAATTGAAAGAATTACGGGATTAGAAAATTTATGTATAGGTACCTTATAATTTTAATTTTAATTTAATTTTTTTTTGGATATTTACGAGATTTCATGTTCTAAGAATAGGAGTAAATTACATATAGGGATTTTGTTATCAGAGAAATTATTAGTAAAAATAAAAATTAGGTAATTGAATTTTATTTGGATAGTTACGAGATTTTAAGTTTTAAGAATAGGAGTAAATTACATATAGGGATTTTGTTATCAGAGAAATTATATAGTAAAAATAAAAATTAGGTAATTGAATTTTATTTGGATAGTTACGAGATTTTAAGTTTTAAGAATAGGAGTAAATTACATATAGGGATTTTGTTATCAGAGAAATTATATATAAAAATAAAAATTAAGTACCTAATTGAATTTTTTTGTTTGGATAGTTACGGGATTTTAAGTTTTAAGAATAGGAGTAAATTACATATTAGTACATAATAGAGAAATTATAAGAGAATTATTTTATTGTAAGGGAACATATTAAGCAATGTTGCGATAAATAAAAGTATTTAATGGACAACAAGTTTTACATAAAACGTAACGTGAACAACCAAATAACAAAAGTGGATAGAACAAATATATTATATCTGAATGAAACTTTTAATTCCGAAATAAACGAAATTAATCTAATAAATTTATTACGGCAAATCGAAGAAGTCGATTTAGGTAACTATTTTTCAAATTCCAGATTTGGAAAGATACCTCTGTCAGCAAAACTTGTTCAAAAATTTACACTGTGCTCTCTATACGTAGTTGAGACTTTAGAAAAGGAAGATTTTAACCAATTACCAGCACAAAAGAAATTTGAATTTATAATTTCCCAGCGAACAGTTGCGTGGATAAATTTATTAAATAAATCGGAAATAGTGGGTTTCTTAGAATTTTGTAATATACATAGTGACATTTCATCGACAATTAATGAATTAAGAAATCTTGCAAAATCAGCATTAAAAAGTTTTAGGAACGACGAAGACGACGCTGAGGATAGCTTAAACGAAACAGAATTAACTTTTACAGAGGACAATTTACAAAATAGTGATCAAAATTTATTGAACGTAACTGTTGTTGAAGACGATTCTAATAAAAAAAAAACTGAACCAGAAAATATAGATATTAAAAAAAATATATTAACAGCAGATCCTATACATTTCAAGGTAGAAACCCACAATAATACTTCGGGTGAACAGATCAACACTAAGAATATTATTGAAAAAAATTCAAAAAAATCTTTAAAAAATAAACAAAGTATAAAAATGGCGTTTAACCATAAACCCGATATTTTCTCAGGAAAAGAAAATGAGGATATTGATAAATTCATAAAAAAATTTGAACTTATAGCTGTCGTGAACGAATGGAACGACGAACACAAAGTAATTATTCTACAACTATATCTTAAGGACTCAGCAGAAGATTTTTTTGAACAACTAAAATCAAAAAACGGAAATATAACATGGAACGAAGTCAAAAGTGAATTAATAACAGAATTTACATTAGTAGGAAATAAACACTTACTAAGGGCAAAATTGGAAAATCAGAAACTAGCAAAAGGAGAAACATATAAAGAATTCATAATTAAAATAGTAGGCATATGTTATAAAATAAACAAGAATATGACCGAAGAAGAAATATGTGAACACATTCTAAAAGGAGTACCCAAAGAAACCTTTCAGTTAATAAGGTTAGCAGATAATACATCGATCGCAAGCATCAAAAAAACTCTAGAGAAACTAGAAGTAACAAATCTATTGAGAACGGAGGACAAGGTAAATGGAGAAGTAGAGAAATTGACTAGAGAAATGGAGGTTTTAAAAAATCATATAAGTCAAATTAAAGTTGGACAAACCCAAAATAACATTCCCAATAGTATCAACAATTATCAGAACGAAGAGCAAACTAGCTATAACAATGGATTCAGCTTTTATAATAGAAATCAACACTACCAACCACCTATATTTAATAATCAAAATTAAAAAAAAGCGACCTATGGTCAAATGCTAACATCACCAAAAATTATTGGTATACCATTTCAACGATTTACAATAGATTATATTGGGCCAATTAATCCACCAAGCAATGGCAACTCATATATTTTGGTAGGAACTTGCGCAACTACAAAATACGCTATAGCAAAATCATACAAAAACGCTGACGCAAGGTCTACAGTCGCATATTTAATAGATATAATTTTACAATTCGGAGCAATAGGCGAAATACACTCTGACCGAGGCTTACATTTTTCAAATAAATTGGTGAAAGACTTACTAAAAGCGCTAAATATAAATAACACATATTCAATTGCATACCGTCCACAGAGCCAAGGCCAGACAGAAAAGTTCAACGGGACTTTGATAGATATGATTAGCCACTTTGTACAGGAACAACCAAATAAATGGAGTCTATATTTAAAATATGTACTATTTGCGTATAACACAGCAATTAATGATACAACGAAAAACACACCGTTTTACCTATTACACGGATATAATCCAAAATCCATATTTGATCACAACTTTATAAGTACAGAAACATCCCCCGAAATTTTACTGGAATTAGAAAAATTAAAAAATATTCGAGACGAACTCCCAAAATTATTAGCGGACAGATATTTAAAAAATAAAAAACATTATGACTCAAATAAGGTACAGGTAAAATTTAAATTAAACGAAAAAGTACTGATTAAAGACGAAAATAGAAAATCTAAATTTGCTTACAGATACAACGGCCCGTTTAAAATAATGAAGCAAGTATCGGATGTAACTTATGTAGTAGAAATAATTAAAAATGGACAGTTAGTAAACGAATACAAACATGTTAGTCAGTTAAAAAAATATAAAGAACGCTAAATAATACATTAGAATAATTGTAATTATAGTATAAAATGTATATTGTATATAATAAATATAACGTATAATAAATGTGGGAAAAGAAATAAAATTATTATCGAATATGCTTGCCTAATGAAAACATACAAAATGTTTTTATTACAACACATAAAAATGTGAATTTGAATTTTTACTTGGTAAATATATATTAAGAATACCATATATATACATTTTTTAAATGAGACACGTAAAATTAATAAGGTAAACACAAGCAAATGTTGAATTGCAATATTCGAAATAGTCTACGAAGTACTAATAAAATAGTAGCTCAGTAAATCAAAAATCATCAAAATAAAATAGATACTAAAAGGAAATACAATAAGAATATCATACATCAATTAAGTTATGTACAGTAAGCACAATTACAACAGTTTTAATTTTTTCTAGCATATTATCAAATTTTGTTACCCATATAGCATTCTAACGATTTTCAGTGCGTAAAAAATCTTACGATATCACTTTACCTCCATGTATAGTAATTAATTAATAAATTTAAGAATAAGGTGTCGAGATAGAATAGTGCAATAAGAGTAATATTATTAAATAATCATTTATGTACTTATTTATTTTTTAGCATAAGGATAAATTAATTTTTTTATTTGACCATAACAACCACAAAAAAAAGTGTAAGCAAAAAAAGAGTGAGAAAGTTTACAAATTTAGGCGACTATAACCGAACCATAAACCTCGAATCCAAGACATATTATGGTGGTTCAATCAAGACCGTTCACGACGCCGAGGTTATAGCGGTACAGAGTGCACCTATCCAAGGACAGACCACGATAACAGACCTCCCTGTTTCAGTACTGGTTGAGGCCTTGAGGGACCGATGACATCCAAACGACGGAACGGGTGAAGAATAATTTCGGAACACTAATATCGTACATGAGTATGATGTGGATTTATATTGTAAATTTATTATAAGGCATAGGTATATTATGTAAAAAAAAAAAAAGAGCGTGTGAAAACATGCGTTAGGCGTATATATACAAATGTAGAAAAAGGGTTCACATAAAAAATATTATTATAAAAATAAAAATGGTAGTAAAAAACTGGTTGAAATTATACACTGACACTACCACATCATTGACACTTGCAAAATTTTACGTAGATTTGATTTTCATTATATACATATACGATGATCGTCAAAAACTGATGAATCAAGAAAAAATTGATCTAGTGCTCTCGCCACTCAAAAATACAATTAATATATTATTATCATGAGTGTTGTCACATTGATAAGCC